CACCCAGATGTTTGCTTTGCTTTGTCTTAGACTTATGCACCTCCACACCTTTCTTTTCAAGCCATGTGCCTTGGAGACAGCCCCATCCTGACCTACAACTAGCAGCTGGCACCTCAAACACTTGCTTAAGCTACTTGTAGACACAACTATGTACCACCTTTTCTTTGCCATGCTTCTCTTTGCAGCTATTAGAGTTAGAAACTTACATTTTGTTTTTTAAATGCAAGTGTAATTTTTTTATGTAATGACAAGAGGGAGACACTATAAGCATCGCCATGCAATCTCAAGTGCTGCTCTCTCCTTTAATTGGGAAAAATGCCCCAAAGTAGCCTTCTCTTCAGGTGGAGACTGGCTCCTTCTCCTTAGCAAGATCATTTGGTTGTGGTCTCTTCTGGAGGATTATGGGCACCTTTAATCCTGATGAGGCTACAAGTATTTCAGAATTCTGCAAATAGACTAAGAATTCATCTCATTATCAACACAATTCAATAACTTTACAATTTGTGTAGTTTTAGAGCTATGAACATTTAGTAGTGCATGCTCTGTGGCACTTTTCTCATTCAGAAGAATGTCTACAGAGAAATGCTCTTCTGACATATTACACTACGTGGGTCATCATTTAAAATTTGAAACATCTACCAGCACATAAATCTTATTTGAAATGTCAAGACAGACTAGAAAAATTACACTGGTCTGAGAAGTCTTGTTACGAGGGTATTAAGGATCGTCCCTTTTCTCTCTCCACTTTTCCACATTAATATTTCTTTCTGTATTTACTTGGTGAGAGAGGGGAAAGGGAGCAGCTGTCAATAGCAACCTCCAGGGAAATTCTGGTTTTCCATCAATTCTTAATCTGCCGTTTTGTTTGATTAAGTTCTGGCATAACTTTTTTCTCTAGTCAGAGTGTATTTAATTCCTAAATCTTCTGTTTAGTCATCCAAACATACCCTAATGTCTTCCCTCTCCCAAACATTCAGAAATATAGCTTTGGTTCTGCCTTCCTTCCTGTGAAGCATCCAGAATTTCCCCACATTCAGATGCTGGTTGAACTTCCCAGTCACCGTTGTCCCTTCTCTTACAATCACAAGCAGTAACTCCCAGAATAAATTCCTCGGCTCTTTTAAGTGAGGTACAGTGTCGACTTCCCAAGTTTTACAAAGAGTATACATCCAGGATTATTTTTGTGGAAACAAAAGCATTTTTAAGACTCATTGAGATTGGGATATTATTATAAATTTAGACAGGAGCTTGAGTTTAGACCTCATGATCCTCTACTTACTTTTCTGTGTCAAAAATTGGAAAGTCAAATGTGTTGTAAAAGAGTTTAGGAGCACACAACACACTGGAAGTAGGCACAGACAGAAGTTAATCCCCATTTTGAAAAATGTGGAAATAGAGGATATGAGTAGTAACTTTTATATAAGAGGTGCCCAGATCTCTAATTCTCAAATCAGAAAACAATGTGGAGCCACATACGACAGAACAATCCAGCCAGGCTATTTAGCTTGTGCTGGGCTAACAGCGAGACAGCTTATAGACCTCGCATGCCTTACCTCCAGACAGGACAGCACAAGAGCAATCACGCGACTCCGTATCCATCTGCGTAGGCGCATTCAGTCTTAGTAAAATCTGTGCTCTCAAACCACCACTTCTGGGATGGGTAAATTTACTCACTTGTTGCTTTAATGATGAAATTAAAAGGTGAACATCGAGTTCACTGTCCCTGAGCTATGTTTCATCCTGATAGAAAATGAGATTGTGTTGCTGATGTTGCTACCCGGTGAGCAATTTTCTTCCCCTTCACCTACCAAAATCACGAGCAACAGAGAATATTCAATGGAGTCTGCATCACCCAGCTACTTCTGATTTTAATGATTCCTCTGTGTCTGATTTGTTTGTCAAATGTGGCTGCAGCTGCACATACACAAATCTGTAACACCACCCAGAATTTGCAATGCAAATTTGTTTTCTGTGTATGAAGTACACGATGATTCTGCTTTAACACAATTCTTTTTGTGGGGGAGAAAACTTGTGATCTTCAGCCAGGTCACCCACTAATCTTTGTTTACGAATCTCGCTGTATTCAGAGTAAGTCCCTGGAGCCCTCAACATAAGAAGGACACGGACCTGTTGGAGCAGGTCCAGAAGAGGCCACAAAGATGATCAGAGGGCTGGAGCTCCTCTGCTATGAAGACAGGCTGAGAGAGTTGGGGTTTTTCAGCCTGGAGAAGAGAAGGCTCCAGGGAGACCTTATAGCAGCCTTCCAGTATCTGAAGGGCACCTGCAGGAGAGCTGGAGAGGGTCTTTTTACAAGGGCATGTAGCGACAGGATGAGGCAGAATGGCTTCAAACTGGAAGAAAGTAGATTTAGATTAGCTATCAGGAAGAAATTTTTCACTATGAAGGTTGTGAGACACTGGAGCAAGTTGTCCAGAGAAGCTGTGGATGCCCCATCTCTGAAGGTGTTCAAGGCCAGGTTGGATGGCCTTTGGGCAACCTGGGCTGGTGGGAGGTGTCCCTGCCCATGGCAGGGGGGGTGGAACTCGATGATCTTCAAGGTCCTTTCCAGCCTAAACCATTCTATGATCCTATGAACGGATGCCCACAAATGGAACGGGATCCAGACTCTGCCATCAAGGAGGTCCTTTCCCAGTTCTGGATGTTGAAATGCTGTGTGATCATATGAGAAGATATTACCTCAAGAAGAGATAGTGCTTTTCTTTTGTCGCTTTAAAAGCCTTTTGTATTTGTTTGCATCAATGCATGGTTCATTTGCCTCTAGGTTTTCAGAGCAACATAATTGACATCTCAATTAATTATCTGATGTCTTTAAACAAAATAGGGGTTCTGAAATGCTCAGTCAGGAAGCAAAAAGTTCATGAACATAGAAATGATATTACCAACTGCATGTCAGAGAACATTTTCAGACGTATCTAAGATATGTCAAGGAATACCCAAAATTAAAGATAATCCCTTTCATACTCAACAAATACCAAAACAATGCCTTAGAAAGATTTCGGTTAGGTATGTCCCTTTCCTTATATAAAATATTTTTCTATTCATAAATCTTTTCCACTAAAAAGTATTATAATTTAGGGATTAAGAGAAACAAAAAACCTAAAAGAGTTGGGGCACTAATACTGCCTAAGTTTATATTCGTTTAAGACAGATTTCTCCATATGCTTTAAATTATCAGCTCCTTTTTAGGTGTCCTGAATAGATAATACTAGTATCAGTCCATAAGCTGGATTTCTATAATGACACTTGAGCCTGAAAGTAATAAAACAGTTTTAAATATGAAACTTATCCTAATACATGGCACTTGCATGTAATATATGTGTATCTGCATTCCAAGGAGATCTCCATCAGCCTTTGGTTAGTACGATTCTTGGGACAAGACACCCTGTACAGGCAAAACGCAAGAATGGAGCACGAAGGAGATGAGCACAATGGGAGTTGTACAGAAAAATGGGTCTTTGAGGAAAATACTGGATTTTGTGCACTTTGTTTGCAGACTTTGTTGTTCAGTTTTTTTTCTGTTTGCTCGTCTAGGTTTTTGTTTGTTTGTTTGTTTGTTTTACTTTTGTGATGCTTTCTGTAAGTTTTCAATAGAAATTTTAATGTCAGGGTCACTGGAGACTGTTTTTAAAAGCGATGTAGGAATTACTGATTGCAAAGATATGAGCCTGCTCCCCAAACAGTGATTTTTTTTTTCTCCTCTATCAATATTTTTCTTTATCAGCATCTATTTGGGGTTGTATATGAAGATTTATAAACCAGTTATGTTTTTACAAACAAACAATGTTTTCTCAAACACCTCTCCTACCTTCCAGTTTATTTCAAGACTTAATTGAAAAGTTCTCTCCTAGGGGTGGGAAAAACTCTGTCGTGTTTGATTTACTCTCACCCCTTGCACAGGAGACTTGTTCCTCTTGCTCCTTTGTTACTCAATCTCTTTCTGTGCCCTTTACATTCCTTGGCTCTAACCCATTCTCTGCTGCAGTTTTTAGAAGTGCTCTTCCTGTGCTTTCCTCTGAATCTCCAGCTAACAAAGCAGGAAGCGAAGGAGAAGTACGGTTGTGTTTCAGAACACCATGGATCACCCACTTAACCCCCTCGTCACTGTTTTATTGCCCTTCCTTTCATTACTCCTTGTCCATCTTTCAGGCCTGAACTTTTACCTCTCCTCTTTGTGTTTTACCTTCTCCAATTATGTGAGTCTGCAACTGTATTATTTCAGCAGTGACAAAGGCAGTATTAAGATAGAGTTCATAAAACTAAATTATATTTTCTATTCAGGAACTGTCAGTATATTTTACTTCTCAGTGCTGCGAAAGATGGAAAAATTAATAAAAACTGTGTTCTTATCTGATGATGCCTCATGGGCCTTTAGACTCTCTCATGGCTTGAACAGGTTGATAGATATATACAAAATAGGCTAAATCCAGACAGATCCTCTCTGAAGCTTCCCTGTCTATTTCTCTGAAACATCTATGTAGACTCCTTTAGAACTGTAATAATAGATTATAAAGAAAGTTCATAACATTTCTTCAAAAGAAAATCCATAATATTTCTTCAAAGAAAAAAATAGCTTAAATTTGAATATTTTACTGAAATTCTCCTTTTATTGGATTCAAGAAGTAAGTCATCTAAAACTATAATTATGTTGTTTTGGGCTGTAAACACAGAAAAATGAGTTACTTTACATATGAAAGCCAAGAAACAATCTGAACTATGCCTTGCTAGAGACCAGTAATGAATCTATTTTAATACCATATAAGTACATACAAATACTCTCAGTGAAATCATCATTTTATGGCATTTTCTACAATTTTAACTGATTAGGTTGACAGCTATCTACAGTTTCTTTCTAATATAGAAAACAAAAAGCAGGGAATTTCAATAATAAGTTTTCAGATGGTACGTCACAAAAGTTCTTAGTCAGTTCTCCTAATTTGTGTCCAGTTTAACCGAATGGGTTTTTCACTATTACCAGCAGGTTAGCGATCATAAACGGCATGTCCATTTAGTTGTGCATAAAGGGTATGAACAACGTGCATTGAATTCAGGCTGCGGTTTAGAAGAGGGGTCGGCATCCCTAAATGCAAGATAAGCAGCATTAGTACAGAATTTGAAGCTTACCTTCCACCTGAACAGCCTGTGCTGTTAATGCAACAGTTCCTGAAGTATGGTTGTTTAGCTATAGCTCAACGCTTTATTGAATGTAGGTGTCATCACCTCTTGGCAAAACTTACTTCTGCCCTTTAAATTCTATAGTAGCATGTTGGGGACAGTCCTGTCATAAGACTTTCCTTTGTAATGCTTGTGTTTTTCTCTTAGAAAGAGTATTAGGATGAGCAAGTAGAGACATTCAATAGTTGCACTTCAGCTAGCAACAGTGTTATGTTTAATCTTTTCCTCTCTCAGGCTCTGACCATGTATTTTGGTAATTATTGTTTTTAATGGAGCAAGAATTCTGAAGCAAGCCGAGGTCACTCAGGAATTCGACACTGTGACATAAATAGCTATCAAGAAGTTAACAAGTTCCCTTTTTTTGCATTCAAACAAATATAAAGGGGAAGTTACGAACTAACCTGAGGCATTTGGGGATGAAGGAAGGAAGAAGGTTTAAGGATTCCCTTTCCTGTGAGGTGTTACAATAACTTAAGAAGAATTTAAAATTTCATGAACCGATGGCTTGATTAAAACCTGAGATTTTAAAGACAATATTCTATAAATACCGTAAGCAAAGTGTGTTAGCATGCAGGAACTCTTAGTAAGACCTTTTATTTTTCAGTAATATGAAAGATTTATCAGCTGTTACACCACTTACAGATCAGGGAGCTCTGGTGATGCTCTCCAGTGTGCGGTTCTGCCCCACGGTGTCCTGTAGAAATTTAAACAAAACAAAAGTCTTTTGTATTTTCATCATATTATAAGAGATAAATTCTCTTTGAGAAACCAAAGGTTGGACCAGATGATCTTTTGAGGTCCCTTCCAACCTGGGCTGTTCTATGGTTCTATGAAATTCTTAATCTAAGAAATAGTCGGCATGAGAGACCATTCTCTCCTGCATGCAGAGGATCAGCTGTGTTGTGTTAGCTATGGGCTGTTGCTCTGTCCCTTCAGAAATTAACTAGCTCTATACATGTGACGTGTAATATTTGGGGCAAAATTCACATGGATGGACTGTGACTATCGCCTGATTCTGCAAGCAAGTTCAGTGGAATGAGTGCCACTGCATCTGTAGGTACCTGTTCATCAACAACAGCGAGATGGTAAGGAACGAGTGCCAAATTTGTCCTGAGCAATGATGAGTCTGTGTTTTTCACACCTATTTTTACCCCCTGTAGTTTGCTGTGCTTTGCATTGCTTATGAATCCTTTTTCTTCAACTGCTCTGCTTTTGTAGTTAGTGGCAAAACTCTTGTGTTGCTTTAATGAGGACAGGATATTGGTCCAGTAAGAGTTACTTACAGTTTTAAAGGGCTTCTAAGTGCCTTTAACAAAACAGCAATCTTATCAAATTTGCAGAAACAGGGTTGGCTCGCTTTAAAAGCTGTGTGCTGTTATAGCTAGATGATTGAACGAGCTTGGAAATTTTAAGAGGAGATAATCTTGCTCTCTGTTCTGTCAATGTAAAAAACTACAGGGCCTGTATCCTCCGTAGATTATTTGTTGGAGACTGAGTTGTTATTATCACTTAAAAGTCATGATGGCACAGTGATTGCTTAAGCAAAAGATGGCACATTCTTGGTAGGAGAGAAATGTAATCTCTATCTGATGTTCTGATTGAATGTAAATATTATTCATGACATATAGCTGAGTCCTCTTCCCTAGTGGTTTTATGGCTTGGGCTTCATTGGTCTTCTATTGCTGAGCCACATCATTTCCTAAATATATCATCTGTATTGGAAGCACTTAACAAATTCTGGATTGACAGAGTATATGGATCAGTGAAGCTGGAAACCGTTTATCTTTTAAGTTATCTAAACATATTCTTCCCACCGTGCCTACTTTAGTTGTTATGTTTGGGTCATAGCATATACAGTACAGCCCTCTGTTGATATTATTCTGAAAATGCTTAATATTTTATTAGGTATCCCTAAGGAGGAGAAAGCCATCAGAAAGACTCTCAGATTCCCTTTCTACCTTGACAAGTATGGGAGTGGATTTTCAGTGGCAATTACATACTCAGAGGGCAGGAAAGGGTCTCAGCTTATGTCCAAAGTGCCAGCTTGATCCTGGCCTCGTCTGAAGATTACTGGTACGCCATTTGCAAAACTGTGTCTTTCGTGAGTCCAAATTTATATGGAATGCCTCTGTGTGGCATTTCTAACCCCACTGCAGTTGCCATTTCATCATGTCACCCCTTGAAGGAGATATCATTACATCATAACTGGTCAGTCTGAAAAAATGTTCATTTTTTCCTGAAATACGCAAACTAGAAACACTGAAACATAGTTTACGAAAGGGATCAGCAACTTCCACCATAAATTCCAAAGATGAATTGCGGACAGAATTTCAATGGTCTGAGTCAGACCTTGTAGCTGGAAGCCACGGCATTGAGATGCAATGCTTCCCAGTTCTGGAGTCCACAAGAATAGCTGAGGGCTATTAGCACACAGAGGCCAATCAGAGCAGTATTTACTGTTTATTCTGCATTTCTGTTCTTTGCAAGGATCTCGGACAACTTCACAGCTAAGGACTGCATCATCAAAATACTCCTGACTTGCAGTGAGCCTCATAACTCATTGCATAAACCAAGTCAAGACTGGTTAATTACTCGTTACAAAGCACCCGCTGAATGCTGCAAAGTGTGTGCATTTTATCTACACCTAATGGTACATACAGATTTCGTATTTAAAAGTTCTGTGTGTGATGTGCCTACCTTAACAGGTTTTAAGTCGTGTCTTCCAGGAGCAGTGCTTGGCTCACTCCATTAGGGTAATGCTGTTCCTTTAATGGAATCGCTTATGATTTGCACTGCTGTAAGAGAGACTGGAATCTGGGCCTTGATCTTTTTAATGCAAATTCATCAATTCGGTTAGATAAGAGATGAAAGGAGTCCATTATGTTCTTCAGCCATCTCTTGAAGCAAAATCATTTGACTTGTTCCAGGCAGTAAGAGGTCCCTACTCCTGCGGTTAGCTCCAGAGGTGAGACCTTGGGTTGGTGACCAAAGCTCTTACTGGAGTTATTTATTTTTTATGTACAGTCATCACTGATGAGCGCTAATAATGACAGCAGTGACTGCAAAGTTAAAAGTTAAGAATGTAAAATTTAAGATTGATATGTTCCTCTGGTGTTAGAACAAGCACTGTGTATTTAAACACATACATTCCTTCAATTCAAAACATTTTATTCTCCTTTTAAATCCACACCTTGATGTCGATCTGACAGTGGTGCAAATGAGAGGGTCACAGTGGGCTCTCTGATGTAAAATCAAAGTGAATTCAGAAGCACAGTGCGGATACTGGAATAGTGTAAAGTATAGGGTACATAAACATAACAAATAGCTGGCACGTACAAAAGTATATCAAGTGCAAAATGTCCACAATACTGCAAATTAACTGCTATGGCAGGAGAGCTAGCAGTGGTGTTCAGAATGGGGAAGCAGAACTCGATTACAGAGATCATAAAATAATCCTTTCCCTTGATCTTCGGCTCCCAAACCCAGGAGAGGCAGTAAGCGCTGGCTCTGAACAAATGATCTTTTATCGGTGATGGATGTGGCTCTGCTTTGTCCAGTAAAAATGCTGATTTACTAATGGGAAAAAAATAAATCTTTTGTGATGACACCAACCTCTCTAACCTGCTAAAGGAAGTGCAAACAGATGGGTATCTCTGTGACTGTGAGTGATGAAACCAGTCCAGAGAAATACCAGTAGAATCTGACGAGAACTAATATTGCAACATGCAGTAACATCACCAGCATCCCCCATCAGGATATATTCATTTTCCTTGTGCCAGGAATGTGACCAACAATACGGCATGGTTTGATTTAAGAGATCTGCCTCTTGTAAAGAAAACGTAACAGATATTTTATACAAATGCAAAATGTGCCCAGTGGCAGATTTAAATTCCTTAGACTTTCCTCTTTGTTCAATGCCAGCAAAATTAAGGGACTTTTGATCCTACTAGTAATTTTTTTTAAAAATGTAGGTTACCTGCTTTATGGATTTTGAAAGGAAAGAAATAAGTTTTTGTTTCTGATATGAGAATGTATTTTTAAAAATAATAATTTCCCCTTACGTATATGAAACTCCATACCAACTTTGTTACTGGTGATGTTTTTCCTTAAGACTAATTTGATATCCTTCAAAAACAATTGCAACCAAGTCTGGTTGATTTAAACTGGTACAAACTACTGATATAAACCAGGTAAAACACATAAGTGAGAACGGAATGAGGCCCTGCATTGTTGGCAGAGGAGGTAAATATAGCTCCAAAACTTATTTGTGAGTTACGTAGTTTGCAGTAAGTCAAGTACGTAAAAAGATTAATAACTATCACATATCAATGCTGAAGAAATGGTACTCTGTTGATTATAAATCAAAACTGAAGGACTTTTGGGTGCAGCTCATCAAACACTGACTTAGGAAACAATTTTCTTCTGGCATATTTTTTCTCCTCAGTGGTTTACAAAGGCAGTTGGGTAATTTTTGCAGTTTCTGTATGAAAAAAATACTTATCCTTTAATCCTTAAATCACAACAATTGGGTATAACTTCATGTCAAAAGCAGCCAATAAAAGTACAAAATAGGGATTAGCAAGAGTATTTTGAGATTAAAATTACTAGAGTTGGAAAGAAGTGGCACATAATCTCAGTACCTTCACAAGCACTGTATTAAGCTGAAGAGGATTTGTTCTGTTTCATTTGAAGACTGACACCATAAGTTACAAGGGAGAGAAGCTATTATTCTAACAGGGAGGATTTCACAATAATCATAATCCACAACTGTACATAAATTTAATTGAAAGTTCCTTCTTTTTTGTCTGGTATCTTTTAATCATCAATGCTATACAATACTTCTGCTTGAACTACCAAAGTGCACGGGAAAGATAGTTAAACCGATCATTTTGGTCATAAATTAGACCACTTGTACAACTGCAGCAATTGCTTTCATTTCTAAATATTTAAACAAATGACTACTCTCATTTAACCTTGAGGCACAAGATTCTCATCGTTTATATTGTGATATAATTCACATGAGTGAATATAAGGCACTGTTGGCACAAAAAATAACTCCTCTTCATTTCCTCCCCAAAGTGCTCGAGATGGTCGCACGGCCGCATTTGCAGCATGAAGACCCAGACTCAATTTGTGTATTTGAGAGGAAAAAGAAAAACAACCCCTCAGCCTCTGATGTACAACTTGTTTTTGAAAGAAGCATGTATTAATTTCAGATCCTGATACTTGGGATATTTCTGCAGTCTTGCCTCGAGTTGTGTGTGACAGGTATGAATCAAAGTAAACGGCAACTACTCTCTACACTTCCCTTTTTAGAACATACACACAATTATTGGTCAATAATTATATAAGCACAATGTAGGTGTGTCTGATATACTGTACCAATGTCTACAGCTGTAGACTATATGTTCTATTCCAGAGCATTTAAATGACCTTTGGGGTGTACAATGTGTATCCCGTTACCCCATTAAGGACAAGATGCAGCTTTAGGCAATAACAGAAATGTTAGTTTGTTTATATGCACAATGATTTTTTTTTTTTTTCTCAACTGCTTTTACAGCTTCATGAAGTTATCGAGAAGTCAATAGCGGACTTAGTGACTCTGACAAACTAAGTAATACACTGTACATACTCATTGCTGGAAAAAGAAAAAATGTTGGGTTTATTTTTGTGACCTTTAGATTCAGCGAACGGGCGAAAATCAATTTATAGTTCAAAGAGATTGGATGATACCGACACTAAGCAGTAAAATTGCTTGCACTTTGATAGCGTGCGTTAAAATACAACACTAAGGCAACAGTCATTGATTTGGATATGGAATGGGGAGTGAAGGTGGGTTTGCCGTGTAGGAGGTTGGGGAACAATTTGACAGGTTTCAAGCCACTCTGTCTTGAGTACTTAAGAAAAAGATTTATAAGAAAACCAGGGAATCTAACCTAGTAACTACTGTTATTAAGGAATAAACATGAGTTCTCTTGGCAAATTACTCTGTGCAGTAAAAAGGGGACAACCATCCAGACTGTCCCTAGAGAACCATACATTGAATTATGAGAATTTCTTTGAGAGAAAGCAGGGTCAGATGACTGATGAGTGGTTGCTATGCTATTGCCACTTTCTGCCTGAGGTCAGGACCCAACTTGTCTTTTATCACAGCAGAAGACCTCTTCTAATGATCAGTCCTCAGAGATTAATGGGACCGGCTGAGCTTCAGAGTTCCCTAAGGTAGATTATTGCTCAGGGCACGAAAGATACTATTGAAATGCTTTAATTATCTGTTGCATTTAGTTGTTGGTATAGTTGTTCTTACATGACACTTTGTCTATCATCATCTTCACAGGTCACCTTGGAGAACAGATGCCTTGCAGCAAAAGAATTAGGAAAGAAGGAAAGCGGAGTGATACTGGCATGTGTCATATTCGGATCTGACGGAGGAGGAAACATGTTTTGAAATCCTATGCCAGTGCAGTGGCAGAAATACAGATGTGGTGATTCATACCACCTAGGAAGTCCTGCTGTGAAGAATTCTCCCTAGTGGCAAACGAGGTGGTTAATCTATTGAATTTCGACTCACAGAGACAGGTATTCCTAAAATAAGACCTGGTAGCTGCTCATCAGGGAAGAGCGAAAGAAAAAAACCTTCAGTGTTTGATTATAAAGTACATGGTATTGCAATGATGTATTAGTTAATATTTTCTTACAGCTTTTGTAGGCAAAACCTTTTTAAAATTCTAAAAATGAGAAAGTACCTGGTCTGGGGACTTTGGTACAGATCCGACCGTTTCCAAAAAACCCTGCTGGACATCGGCCACAGACGTATCCAATGTAAGGGGGTTTCCGATCAAAACATAACACTCCGGGAAAACACGGCCTGTTGGCACAGGTAGTAATATGTGACAGTGGTGTGGCATGGCCTAAAAAAGAAGGGATTTCCAGCATGTTTATTTATAATTTCTCAAACCAAATGCATATGTAAAATTAAGCAGTGACTGCCTGAGCACGACTAAAGCTTTATAACTGCTTTTATTCCTTTAAAATCTAATTAATGCAGAATGTTCCCAAAGCTTGAGCCAAACATGAGAATGTCCTGTAGGCACAGTGTAACAGAACAGCTGTTTCTCATTAAAGCAAGATTTATTAGTCCTCTAATTACATGTTTTCAAGCTTATTACTCAAAGTTGTTTGGCATTTATCATGGATAATATAGAAACTGTAATTTTCAGCGTAAGTGAAAGATTAACAGAGTCAGAAACTGTATTATTTGACATCCTTTTGTCTTTTATAATTGGAAGGTAATCATCAAACCTTACAGCACATATACCCTACCTTTAAAAATACACTGTCAAATGTTTCTGATCTAGAAATCATCCTTAATGTGTCAAACCTTATATGACAGGAGACTACTTTAATTATCTTAGAACTACGTGCAAAATGTAACACTCCAGTAGTATATAATATTTTATCAATTATGATGCCACTGAATAGCCAGCATATATGAGCTGCCTGTGAAGTATTTAATAGTGTCAAGACAGAGAACAGATGATGAATAAAATCTTAATGATGGTTGTAGATCTTTTTTAACTGCCTCCAGTGAGGTCTCCATCATGATTCTCGAGTATTTTCAGCGTTTTTCTTGCACCTTGCCTACAGCGTTATTATGGTCACCTGTAAGAGGCACGTTCTGGTTAGCTGTTGGCTGGCCTGGTACAGATATGCAAAAGAAGGTGAGAAAAAAAAAATAATAATCTTTTCTTTTACATATGCCCCTGCACGCCAGACGTGTTCAGTCTCAATTCTTCTGCTCCCTGCTTTCACTAGAAAATCGACTAAAAATGCAATACCCTTTAGAACTGGGGCAAGTGAAGCGGCACACGGTGCGCAGCCCTGTTAGAGAGTGCTGTAGTGTTCCGCGCCGGGGGAAAGCGTCTGCCACAGTCAAGTTCATACTTCAAGAGTCGATCTTCACTTATGCTCAAAACTCAGTCTGAATTCAGTGACTGCCTGTCAAACGCTGCAACAAAACGTCAGCATCACTTGGCGATGGCAAGTTGGCATAAGCTGTCATTCTTATCCTCTCGCTTTCCATTGATCACTAAGATTTGGAGTGATTTTGTTCTAGCTCAGAAGAGATGTGATTTCTGGTTAAGCCTGACCACTCTGATTGCTGTTACTGCAATGGCTCTCCTCCTGTGTGAAATTATTTAGCAGCAATGCAGCCTGATGTATTGAAGGGGGGGTTGATTTTTAACTGTTTATGATGTATTACAAACAGCTAGTTTACGTTCACTGTTAGGATGGTAAAATGTATGATTTCTGAATATGTAAACTGCAGCAACTGAAAAAGATTTCACATCCTTGTATACCTACCATGTCTATCACTTAGGCTAAAATTCTTCATTACAGGAGAATCCTTTGCCTCTAAGGCTTGAAGTTGCTGCTTAACCTCGGTCGTGTTCAAATCACCTTTGCCATCGCCGTTTTCAACGCTTAGAGCTTTTGTAATGTCAGCAGCAAACACGACTGTGAAAAGAAAGCACGGAGACAAGGAAACAAGGTGTTAGAGCTTAGCTGTGATTGATGATAAAAAGCAACAGTAACAGCAAATCAGATAACCTGACATAAGTTTATTCTGGAAGCCAACCATCAAGCAAATAAAGGCAAATCAGGTGAGTCAGCTGCTGACATGCAGCAAAGCTTCAACACAAACATAGGAAAAATTACTGTGCCCAAAATCACTGAACTTTGCTTATCTGAGAGACATACTTAATATGCACAGTGATCTTTTATTGAGCTAGGGGCAGCCAGAAGGCCACAGGTCCCAGTGTGTTAGACAGCATTGCTGCTTGGATGAAGAAGCTACGCTACATCGGGGACCTGTGCTCTGCCTGATTCCTGCCTCTCTTTGGAAGCTTCTTTCTGAAACTATGTTGTGTGTGTTTGTTGGCTTCGGGTAGTTCAGCTGCAAACTTTGGATGTGTCAAAATACCTGTACAGAGTATATGTGGATGGAAAGAGGAAAATTGTTTAGTGGAGACTCTAAAAAATATCGATTTCTACATAATTTTTAAGATAATTTATTGAATGAATTAGGGATTGTGAAGTCTACATGGATATATGTTGTGAGCTAAGCAACCCTGCCCTGGGTCTCAGATATTCTTTACTGCTAATAAAGCCTAAGACTATGACTTTTTATATATATTATATATATATATATATATTTTATATATATTAAATAATGCAATGAGCTATAGCCCAGTCTAATAGCTATAAAGTTACCTCAGTTTTCTCCTTCCTTCCAGAAGCTTTTATATTTGCTTCAACAAGGGAAGTATGAGTGGGTATGTTAAGTCTGTATATCAGAATCACACAGAATGATTTCTATCCTGTCTTGGGTGGACAAGGAAGCCCTCAAGTTTATTCTTTCTAATAAATGTGCATTTCAGAAACCGAGAAAATTTTCTGTTGTTAAAAAAATGCAAAGGAAAAAAATGCTTTTCTGATCTATTTAAAAAAAAGGAATTATTTTGTATATTCTTCCTTCATTGGCCAAATTAGCTACAAAGAATAGGCATTAGTGAAACAGGTGCAAAATCACTTTGAAATAACCAATGTGACCAAATAATACAGAAAAAAACCACCCATCCTGTACAGATATTTGGCAATATGATTGAAGTGATATTTGGTAAACCTGGCAAAGACAGTTCTGCTGGTGCCAAGATGCTGCAGTTACAACTGAACCTTTCTGCTTCAGAAAATTTTTTTTCTCTTTAGTAGTCAATATGAGGATAAGTTAATACCTGCACAGCTAATATCTGTATCTTTTGCTTCTGGGATTTCTTTGGAAACACCAACAAACAAACGTGAAGCACTTCAAGTGTTGATTTCTCTCCTTCTGGCCAACCAAATGTTATATTTAGAGATTTGTGTGTATATGACTGATGGAAGCAGCGTGTGAGTCAGACGCGTGCCGTGCACTGGGAAGGTCTCAGCAGAGTACAAAGTCGGTGTAGTCTCCCTGCTAGCAAGTCTCTTGCCCCAGAAGCAAATACTGAGCAGGTGTAAAATTGTTCCTAGCCATTTCCTTCACTAGTTGGGACCTGTGGCATGACTTTACACCAAGCATTAGCTCAACAGCTGTGGACTGCATCCTCTGATGAAAGCCCATCTTGCAAAAGACATGAAAGGATGTGAAGGATTCGCACATGGACCTTCTTCCTCTTACCCTACACGCTGCTTACACAGCACTCGTTCAAAACAAAAGTAATCCTGGGGGTGCTCCCCAAGCCCTTGTTAGTGGATGGTATACTTAGGAGTGAAATCATGGAGAACCTGGGGAACGTCCCTGGCAAATATTCTAGCTGGCATCTGGAAAATACTTTTTCGTATGCTACGGTGTTTGTTCTAATCAAAATGAAACTAAACTGCAGTGAAAAACAGCAAACAGAGACCAATTTGCAATTATCCATATTGATATAACATGACAATAGACTGCTTTGTATATTTAAAGGTCCGTACTTGAAGCAAGTCGCAAAGTACTCAATTAAGGATAATAGTAGTAGAATTGAACCCATTTTTCCCCCATCTATTAAAATAAATCATGCAAAACACTTACATTTGCAAGTTTTACCATTTCCCTCCATCCCACTGGGGCAAATTCCACATGCATATGATCCAAAGGTGTTCACACAAGACACTCCAGGAAAACAAAGACCCTCTTCACATTCATTCCTGTCTTCCTGACAACTAAGCCCTGTGGCAAAACAAAGGGGAGGTTAATAATCAGAAAAGATTCCCTGTTTATTTCTCAGCTCAAATGTTGAAGCAGACTAAGGCTTACTTCTCAGCTGTAAACTCATTACAGGGTATGTCACTCACGTTGGAGCCAAATTCCCCACTGTCTCACTTAAACTTGCTTTTATCACACTGTTTATTACGGTCGTTACTGGCACCAGAAGTGCTGAACTTGAGACTACTGTTGGTAGAAAACTGTGCATGTTAAATAAATTATTCTCCTTGCATTTCACATCTTTGTTGCTGCTTTTGGTGTCTTGTTTATGTGAGATCATTGTCATATATGAAGAAGCCAATGAATGTTACCATTTTGGCTTTTAGATATGAAGAGCCATGTACTGACCTATTGTGTTTTTCATTTCTATGTGAACCTCATAAACTAATAGCTTAGTGTGAACCAGCCTGATAGACTCTGGCTGAACCTTACAAAATGATCAGATTTAAAAAAAAACCAACCATTTCTTTCTATTTAAAATTAAAATTTGAAGAAACCTTCTGAAAATGTCTCTGAGCCACAGTGCTGGTGTACAGAAGATAAGCTACGGTAGGATCTGAACCCAAAACAATGTGTCTTGACTATTGCTGATTTTGGAAATAGGGTTTAAAAAATCCCTTGACGTAATTGGTATTCACATTCACAACTCTGGATGATTTAATGGATACCTATAGGGGAAGGTGACCCAAAAGTTAAAATTACTATCTGAACAGCAAATGATGCAGAGTAATCACGAATAATGTTGTTAAAAACTCCCTCAGGCTTCAGGTATGTGTGCTTCTGTCTCTGTGCACTTGAGAAAACTTGCTTGGCTATTGCTGGTTACCAGAATATGCAGCCCTGATAGCAGGTCATAAATTAGCCCATATCACTTCTATTAAGGCATCCCCTTTGTCCCTTGTAGGAATACCCAAGGAGATCGGGACACCTTTTGGAGGGTCCAGGTACCTGCTGCAAGACATACCACAAGGTACAGAAAGGCTTCTTCTGTATCAGATATTCAGCTTTATTATGAAAGAAGATCTAAGGATAAAAGCATATTTTTTTCTTCAAAAAAGAAATTTGTCACAGTGGAATGAATTAGGGACATGGTTGAGTGGTGAACTTGGCAGTGCTAGGTTAATGTTGGACTCGGTGATCTCAAAGGTCTTTTCCAACCTAAATGATTCTATGATTCTGTGATTTTATGAATTACAGGATGATAAAAACAGAACATTGCTATTCATCTCCTACAACACAATCTCTCATTGCTTCAGCATTTCAGATAGCTTCCACTACTCCTTTGAAGTTAAAATAGCATCTCCATGTAAAAGTCTCAGATTGAAGCCTCTGTTGATTGAGCTGCCTAAAAAAGCTAGTGACATCACCTTCCGTGCCTGCTTTGTCCTGTGGGAAGAAAAGAACATCAGTGCAAAAGCCATGTCCCTTTTCTAGTGCCATCTCAAGCTAAGTTGTTCTGGTTTGGTATGCTTCTTGATTCTTTCATTTAAGTTGGACATGACATAGTATCACAGTGCTTATCTTATGTTTTTTCCTCTCTTGTTACACTTTGGATTAATATTTGTATTGTATAATTTAATTAGCACATTCATAGCATCAGGCTGCTTTTCCCTGATATTGTTTTCTGATGATGCGTTGGGAAATTATTAGACACAACCTTTTGGAAAATATTGAATGAGTTACCCTCTGATTAGATTAGTAATTATTTTCTTTCTCTGAGTATCATATAAAGACAAAACATGATACCATAGACAATGAAAGTAGGAATGAAGTTCCCAGTTTCAGTAACAACAGCACTTCTCCCCCTTTCCCCTCTCCTCCCTCCTACATACTCTATTTTTACTGCAAAAAGCTACCTTTAAAATCTCAAAGATGAGAGAAATACAAAAAGCAAAGAAACACCGTAAGTAATAAGCTAAATTTTAAAATTCAGTCTTTGACTTATTTTTGTAACATAAAGGTGGAACGATGCCAGCACTGCATTTCACTCAGAGAGATTTGATTTTAAACAGTATCATTTTGGGCATAATGATAATCCAGCTGAGTCTGAGGATAAATGTTTGCAAAGTCTGAAACTTGGCTGAAGGTTGCTAAAGAAACAGCAGAAATGGACAGAAAACTATCTACAAGAAGAAGTGTCAATTATTCTGTTTGCACGACCTCCAGTGCACTGCAACATGAGGGAGTCTCAATTCTCTTGGCACTGCTACAGTACAAATAAAAATAATAGGAATAAAAGATCTTCAGGTTGCAAGGTTGAAATATCTGTTTTGCCATCCCTGCATGGGAAATTGGCTCAGAAGATAAAGTCTTCTTATGCCTCAAGAGTAGCTGACCACCTACAGATGCAGAGAACTTTTAGACTGTGTTCACATTAAGTTGCCTCTACAGGAACAGGTAATCTCATTTAGGGACTCTATGGTTATAATACACCATGAACAAATATTGGGGTGCTTTTTCAGTTTCCTGAAAAGTGAAATCAAGTTATAATATCATCTTCCCCTCAATAATTTTATATTAATCAATGGTACATAAAATCGTAGAATCATAGAATGGTTTGGGTTGGAAGGGACCTTAAAGATCATGTAGTTCAATCCCCCCTGCCATGGGCAGGGACACCTCTCACCAGCCCAGGTAGGTCAAAGTCCCACCTGGCCTCGAACACTTCCAGGGATGGGACATCCACAGCTTCTCTGGGCAGCTTGTTCCAGTGTCTCACCACCTTCAGCATAAAGAATTTCTTTCTAATATCTAATTTAAGTCTACACTCT